ATGTTTGTGGTTTTTAGTATGCCAGCCAGTCCGAAAAAGGCCATCGGTGCTGAAACACATGCGGCACGGTATCAGAGTTCACTTCACAGGCAGGTGCCACTCCTAGACAGTCAAAGCTGTGGTTTCCCGGGGCGAGAACAGACAGGTTTATGGTCTCGTTCTTGTGATGATTTCAGGCTAACAAGTTTGTATTTACTTTTCTTTTAGTGAAAGATCAGAAATGTGAAAAATGCAAAACTGCTGTTGCATAATTGAATAGTTCACATCACATCTCTCCTTCAAATGAAACAATGTCTTAATGTGACCCCCTCACGTCAAGCTTTGAGGTGAATTACTTTTATCATCACAATTGTTTGGACTTGACACATTTTCATAAGCTCAAGAGAGAAAAGAAAGAAAAGAAAAGTTTGAATAATGTTAATAAATCTTTAGTTTTTAATTTCCTCAATGCTCCCACGACCCTCTTTCAATTTATCATAGGATCCCCTTGGGAGGTCCCGAGCAGTTGGTTGGGAAGCACCGGATTAATTGTCGAGTTTTAACCAGATACCTCTTTATGTCCGCATATATCTCTTACTCTAATATCCGATCAGCCCGAGTCTGTCATTAAGCCGCAGTTATGGTGAGCATGACTTCTTTCTATGGCGAGTGAATGTGCAGTGGTGATGAGCACGGGAAAGATGGATAATGCAGGAAGTTATCGCTAGAATGAGAATAGCCTATTATCATTAGAGGAGATTCAAAGTGGAGAAGAACGGGTGAGAGAAGAAGGCTGTGGGGTAAGGGTTAATCAGTGAATAGCAGGATAAGGCTAAGAGGACAGGGAGCACAGAAACAGAAAGCCTGCGCTCACTCTGCCTCTCGTGCGCTTTCTGCAGGAAATTAAAGGGCAAGGTGACAGGAGAAGGATCGAGGCAGAAATGATTAGTGCTTGTTTTTGATCACTCAGACAGCCTTTTATATTTCACTTCTACAGTGTGGCACGTTGAATTGAGCAAAGAACATTAATGGATACAAAAAAAAGCTAAAAAAAAATACAGACTTTGAAAGGAGAACTATATGATGTCATTTTTTAAAATTATGCTATTTTTGATCCCGTTCTGCCAGAACTTTCCAAAGAACCATATTATGGTTCGGCACAATACCCAGCATGCATTTCTCAGTCTTTCCACAGGTTTCTTTGGTGACTTGTATCACTTTCAAGTTCTTACTGAACACATTTTCTTTCTCTTGCTTGTCAATTGCATCCCGAAATATTAGGGACAGCTTTTCTACTGATTCGTGAGACAAATTACTGAATAAAAGAAAACTATTCTTGCAGGATGCACTCAGGTTCTGAGACATCTGTTTGTAATGTACAGATGATTCGAGTTACTGATCTGTG